ACGCGCCCTCAGATGCCGACCACGCTGTGATCCCGGCGTAATAATGCGAGCGTCGTCGCGCATCGTCGGGCGTCGCCAGGCGGTGTAGTTGAAAAACAGGACGCGACGCGACGCGACGACTCTGCGCCAGTGTGAGTTGAGCCTTTCAGTTTTATTTCAATTATAGTTGTTCTTCGTTAAATTAGTATATATGCATTCCCCTTTTCCCTACAAGTTTATAACAACTTGAATAGAATAGTTACAAAATACAGCACCCAATGATCATTTTTTGGCAGCACCTAAGTACTTAATATCTTTACAAAATATATATTGTTTACATTTTCCCTATTACTTACTCTACTCGTAAACTTTTACGTATACACATAATTCTAAAACGAAGTTTACTGAATAAAAACTATGAAATGGAAATGAAGTGTCCAATATGTGGTTTCATGCCGTCAAGGCTACAAGATACAATAGCTCTATTCCTGACTTCATCGCGACTAAAGGATTTGTTCCGTGTAAAATGTATGTATTGTAAAATACAAACGCACGATACTACACCAACGACAAAATCGATAACAGTTGAAAAAGAGACTGGTAAAACAATCTTTCAAACCCGAACAGGTAGGCACGGGTAAGGGTATGACTGACACGGGCAATAGATAACACGACACAACGACAAGCATATCACACTGCTATTATTTACGTATACAACTTCGTACAGTAAGCAAATTTGTTTGCTTACACACTAGAGAAAATATTTTACTTCATGTATCAATTCTGTATGACGCCTAAAGTAGATTCATTTATTTATGATATCATATTTGCAGGTACTACATTACATAGAAATAAGGACTGAAGTTCAGGTAAACAAGTATTATAAAATATGCAAACAAGGTGGGAAATATTTTCTAGTCTAGTCTGGATTTGCGAAAATGAAACAAATCTATAATGTACCTATGAAGTAAAAAGAAAAATATGTTTGACATTTGTGAGACAAGGTGTAATATTGGCAATAGTAACGAGGATATCACGTGCGAGCGTTGAAAAAGGTTGGTTGGTTAGTGGGGACGACGAGAGTGAGCCTTTTTGAAACAACTAGCGTAAGTCGTGAGGGCTCTCCATTAAAATTGTTTACATGACGGGGAACCGCGTGGCGGAGCAGCGGCCCGGCCTGACTACACACATACATTACCGCGAGGGTTGCTCGCCCTCTATTGTGGGGCGTGATTACGCGGTACACTCCAATGCATCAGAGTGTAACTCCAGTGCCTTTTATGATTATTTTGTTCAATTTAACAAAATGAGTTGTGGTTTTATTTTAGACATCAAAATTTTAAAACACAATTTAAAGAGCGCACCATGGTGACAAAGCAAATGCTGTTTCCACAATAAAATTTATTTATGTGATCATTTGACAAACATTATTAAAGTATAATAAACGCAGAATTAAAAGGTCTTATATTTTAAATAATATTTACGTTGCCATTTATTATGTACAGTCAATGGCACATCATACACTTTTGTTCGAATGTCGCCTCAAGTCCAACGGAGCAAGATCCGACACGGTAGCTTGATGTGATGCTGTCTGTACTTTTATTTAAATGACTGAAGGTCGCCCAAATTCATGATAAAAATGTTAATTCGTCATTGTAGGAGCTATTAAAGAAAATTAATACAACCTCTAATAAATAACACACTCACATCGAATATGATACTTTAGGAATTTCTAGTTAGCGAAGTAAATATACAGTAGAAACTGTCCCCCTTGCTAATATGTTGGAATACTTGTTGTTTAAAAATAATGCAATTTAAAATGGCTGAACATGATAAAAAAACTACTCAGAATAATTGATGGCTATATATAAGTACACACTTATTGAATACAATTACAATTCAATACAATTGCTCTAAGGACAAGTGGAAGTGACTCTGTGAATGCGTAAACAAACTTACGATGACATCGAAATTAATCATTGAGCGGATGAAGTAAAATTAAACTGGAAACCTTTTTAAGCTCTACAAAAGTCGTTTTGCGTAGGCAGATACTGAAAAAGGAATGCGCGCAAATCTGACGATCGGTGATACGGGCACAGATATCCGTTGTATAGGCCGATCAAATGTCTGTGTGAACACGAGGCGTAATTAGCGTGGGGGTTTATGTGAAGATTTGTATATAGACTGTGGTGGATAATTACCAGCAGCGCGAGGCGAAGCCGAGGTGCAAGCGGGCGGCTAGCGGTACGGTACTGCCGCCGGGTGTCGCGCCGGTGTCGGAAGGTAGACACACCCAATCCGCGCATGCGTACACCGCGCACCCACTCGCACATTCACCCTTAGCTCTACGCTTCTGAACATCCGCCGAAGCAATCTACGTCATATATCAGCTAAACTAATCTAGTGAAGTACAGTTTATTTTTCCGCAACCGAATTCGATTTACAGAACGTCAGATACCTTCTTTTTTGTTAAAGGAAGTGTAAAAATAGTGCAACATATTATCTCTATGGTAGCAGATACGAATAACACAGTTAAAGCACTGAATTTATGCAAATTAAAAATTATTTGTGAAATTACCAAAATTGACATAAAATGTACTGCACATTTATCTATTTAAACAAATATATTTTCTGTACACTTTACTAGAAGTTAAATCTATCTTAATGAATAAATAACATGGTGATCTCCTATACAAAATGTGATAAAATTTGTAAGCAATAATATTTTGTAAAGTTGCCAAAACATTTTATCGCCATAAAAATACTTTCTTAATATTGGTATGCAAGCTACATTTACATGTCATGAATCATAGCAATCTCTCAGGTGGTTACGGTACGCTGGTCACTAAGTGGAACTTGTCATTAAAATTCCTTTGTCCAAGATGTCCAGACAGGATACCGTGGGAACCAGGTTTTTGTTACCAGTTTAATAATATTAAATTCTTGTCTTGCAGAAGCAGTTATAGCCTAGTTGAGAAAAGGTCCACCTTACAGTTCTTATGTTTGACTCCCATAATGGGCCCCGCTCTAAACATGTTTAACCAAGAGGTGAATATGTATTTTCAATAATGTATAAAGTCCCATTACTAGAATGGTGGACACATGTTCAGTAGTGGGATGTATATGAGTTAATGATGTTGGATTACCAGATAATTTGCAAAGTATCTATTTTTTTAAATCAGTTTAATTCTAAAAATCAAAATAAGTTAATTCCAATTTGCAATTTTAGAAATTACACAAGATTTGAAACAATTCCTATTCATAGCAGCACTGTGATAGTTTTCTTTTCTTACTGTCATCAGAATTAAGAAAATCTGACTAGAGTAGTTGTCTTAAGTGGCAGTGCAGTGATAAATAAAATCAATTTGCCTATTAAGGTTTACTTAGTTAAGTGCAGTTGTTTTTTAAGGTTTTTTATAATTTTGTTTTGTTTATATAGGAGGCAATAAAGAGATATTTATTTATTTATTATGTAAATTTGTGTTTGTATTCGTTTTTAGACATTAATTGGTATAAAACCAAAACTAACATAAGGTTACAAGTACAAGCTTACAAATATCTAAACAATATTTCTTTACTAATGAAGATGCTGGTACAAAATCCAGGAAACTTAAGTGGCAGCTGTTCTGTTGTACACATTCAGAAGGAACAAATAACTGAATGATTTTTTAAGACAAAGAAATCCGGGAAAAACTTTTGCCCAGTAAAGGGACAGCAACTGATAATGTAAAAAAGATTCTTTACTTACCTTTGTATCTATTCCTTAGAGGCATGCAAGCAGAAACAAGGTTATAAGACTGAAGAATTTAGATTGCATAGAGAAGGAAATAATATGGAATATTATTATTTGTGCAAAAATAGATTTAATTAAATAAATTTAATTCAGTTGCATTTCCATTTTAAAATAGTTCGCACTATCTCTGCCTGGGTTACTGGGCATGTAGCATCAACAATAATGAATGCAATTAAATAAAAAATGTACATAACATTTCAATAACAATGTGTATTTGAATAGTAATTGTTAAAATTATTTGTAAATATATGAATATATATTTTAAAGAACGTTTTAAACTGGTTTTATTTTTTTAAACCATCTATGAATGTATAAGTAAAAGTTATAACATTTTCACTGGCATTTGTCAATTTTTATTAACATTTTAGTAAATGTACCTAAAAAGCTCAAAATCATTGCTCATCTCTCATAGAATTGCTTTTATAAGATAAAATATTAATCATTCTATTATTTTAAAAATACATTTTTTTTCTATTTACACACTTTTATAATTTCTATAATTTTATTATAGTGAAGTATTATATTGACAAGAAAGGTAAAAGGATTTATTTTTAAACAATTTAGGAAAACTATTTAAAATATTTTTAAAAAAATTCATAAACCTCATTTAAATTTTTATTGAATTGATATTAAATTATTTTTTTTGTGAAATTACTCCACTAGTTTGCATTAATAATCATAACTCTCATTTCATTTGTTACATTGAAAACTAGAAAGGTTCAGCTTTTCTATATAACAAATAAAATTAGAGTTATGATTTTTTTTTTTTTACTTTAAATAGCTCTCTTGTAATATTTTTTGAAATGCACATTAGATGATTTTACCTTTCCAGCAATTGATAAGTATTATCTGTCAAAATAGTAAAATCATTGTAAATGGCTTATGAGGCTATTTTATACAGATGAATTTAAATTCCACTTAAAATGATAATTACGTTCAATACACATTTACATGTAATATTAATAATGATATTCTTAAAACAATACTGAATAAGAATATATGTCTATGCACTAATTTGAGATAAAACATAAAATAATCAGTTTTTTCTAAAATCCATCACCAAGTGATTTGAGAGTGATGATGAGAAAATAGATACTTCTAAAACTTGACCTGTGTGTCTTTTGTGCTAATAACTGCAGTAACACTTTTATCAATTACATTATTAAAAATATAGTATGTTCTTTGTTCATACATTGTAAATAATTAGACATTTATGTTATGTACTTACCTCTCCATCTGAATCATAGTAAATAAGAGCCTTCCTTGTGAGGACCAGAAAGCGTTCTCTGTAGTTAACAGGAGTGAATAGCTTTTTGTTTTGCGACCTCTTCACCATGAAAGTCTGGCAGATTACCTCGTCATCTTTCGAAGCCATTTTGGCAACTGGAAATCACACAGTTTATTAAATTAGACTATTACACCCATATGAATACTAAAAAGGAAATAAAATAAAAAAGGTTTGATTCATAGTTTTCATTGCGTTCCATTGACGTTTTTTAAACAAGATTTACACACTACCTCCTTGAGAATGATTAAAAATAAATCAATAATTTAGAATGTGAATATAAACGTCATAAAAATGTATCTACGTCCTATCAAAACTAGATATAGGCACATATCAAGTACATACATACAAAAGAAATCAAAGAAAACATAAAACCGGCTACGAGACGACTTTACAACATAGTATTATTATATACATACCTGCAAAATTAGTAAACTATCATAACAATTAAAGAAAGTTACGCTTCGGCCAAACTAGCTATCGCACACAAAATAATTATCGGTTTATTTGATTAGTCATCGCACCAGCAACAACTTCAAAAGTTTTCTTGTTTTATTTCTCTGCCTTTCTGTTTGCAAAAAACTGGCTACAAAAGCCCAATCCAACCAAACCAACTTTAGAACTGTCATTTTCAATAGTGTTGAGCAATTGCTCGATGATCTTCATAAAAGATCAAATTATATGCAATCCGATTAAAAGAGATTAGAAAAGAAAGTATGTATGTAAATTAAATTAATGAACCTATTAATGAATAATTTTTATTTTGTGTATTTATCATCATAGATACCTGCAATCTAAGACATTAGTGAATGAAAGGCAATCATACGATTTACTGAATAAATGTAGTTAGGAGATATTGTTTTGAAATTATAGATAGTTGTAGCTAAATTAGGAGGTATTGCATATTAAACACAAACAGAAATTTATAGAGAAAATAATTTTTATTACACATTTTATAAAGCGAAACAAAGATTTTCAATAAGTAATTAACTCATAACTAACTATTCATAAGGCAAAACATCGTAAAAAGCATGACAGTCTCTAGGTAAAACTGCTTCCAATTGCTGTAGGTGGTTATACTTAGTTGCCTTAATCGGCATTCTGTTTGCATGAAGTTGGCGATATATCACTTCGTTTGATAACACTTTTGGTCGCTGTGGTAGACAGATCCATTCTGCGTCAAAGGCTAGCTTTACTTCGATAGTCATCGTATTGTATCGCATTACCCTTATGTCAACTACTTGTGGATCGCCTACTTTGCGGCCGGGTCGAATACTTTTATAAATCAAATTCTCATGACTAGCGTAGTCCTTGACGAAATTATAATCTACCAGAACTGTTTCGCACGGCATGAAGTTGCGGGCTTCTTTGGTTACGGCGACATAATCACTTGGCAAGTGAATCTCCCTATTTTTTAATTTACGCTCAATTGCGCTGTGAACTGAGTCACACTCCATCTGAGTGTGACCCGGTTCTAAAAACTTCTGGGTAATTATAAAATTGTACTTCCTGCTGAAATTTAATAGCGCATTAGACAGTATATTGTTGCGGTTTTGGTACGTGCAACCATCTGAGTATATTACTATAGGCAGTTTTTCTTAAATGCAATGCCTCTCCAAATAATCAATTATGGCCATACTGAAAGTACTTGATGATAAATCAGCAGCGGTTTCATCGAACCAATAACAAGTGCAGAGGTGTGTCATTAAATTAAATACTGTAAAATTCTGACACACTAATTTCGTCTTAAAATATAAGGCGCTCGCAGTTAAGGAAGGACAAACCTTCACAGACTCCAAGTCCATAGTGAGCAATATAAATTCTCTTGCAGCGGCCCTTTTTTTGTCATCTTCCTTTTCCTTTCTCGCCCTGTTCTTCAAATTTATATGTGTCTGATAATCTGTTTCACTTAAATTCCCAACTTTGTAACTTGAGCAAATATCGCACATGTCTTTCTTTAGAGTGTACAGTGAGAGATTATTCTCGTGGAATTTTTTTTCAAACGTGATTCGGCACACTTGAGGTTCTTCTTGTTCTATACAATAAGTCTTGTAAGTTTTATACAAATCAGAAAGAGAGTGATACATTGGTTCTATAAACAACTTACTTGAATCCTTTCACCCATAATGTGACGGTAACTTTGGCAGGCAATTCAGAAAAGTTTCTAATGTTAGAATCTTTCTCTTTACTTCAGCTCTAGTTTTATAGTTGTATTTTTATTTTTGTACACTTCTTCTTGGGTTGAACTCATTTCAAAATCACCCTGTTTAACCCATGACTGAACCATAAAAGAACCAAGTGAGAGCGTATTGAGGAACATTCCTCTGCAAACTTGAACTTTTTCGGAATTATTTTTATCTATTGTCAATATATTGTCAATTTTATCTATTGTCAATGTTTTATCTATTGGCAATGAATAAATCAGAGTTCCTGTACGCCGAGAGTTTTCACCAGCTGACTTAGTCTTTCTCGACGTTTTTGAGCGTGTAACTAATCCTAATACATAAGTCTTTCGTTGATCCCAGCTTAGTGTTTTCCAAAAATTTCTATGAATATTTTGCCTACACTCTTCTGTAAATTTCTGACAACCTCTTACTTTACTTTTCTCGCAAAACTTGGAGTTGCAACTTGGACCAAGTTGTCTAGAAGGCCTTAATGTGTCATGTTGCATTTTTCTACCCACTGGTTTTCAGTAACCAAGGTATTTTTCACTAAGCATTCGATTTCGTTTTGCTTTGTTTCTTTTCCAAGAACTGGGTACGGCAACGTGGTGACGTTTCCTGCCTTCGTTCATATTTCCAAAATATTCTGCATCTTCAAATCCAAAATTAGTTGCATTGTCGCCGTCGTTATAATCATTAGTAAAATATTGACTATCGTTTTCTTTCAGTTGACGTATTTCTGTGGAAAGCTATTAATATTGACGGACTATTACAGCGAGAAATAGAAGCTAAATGAGGGACAGACTGATATTTTTTAAGGTTTCGAAAGTTGTTAATGGTGTCATGTGTCAAGTCCGATAATTATGAAGCTCTAATTTTTTGGCGGAAGTGGCCAAGTAAGGACAGTCGTCTTGCTCAGGCTGGTAAGCGTCAGGTAGACTACAAACGATATCGTCCGGACAGGCGTCTTGCGTAGGCTGGTAGGTCACAGGTGAATTACACACGGCATCGTCGGGACAGATGTCTTGCTCAGGCCGGCAAGAGTGGTAAGTATCAGATGGACTACACACGCCATCGTCGAGATAGGCGACTCGCTCTGTCTGGGAGGTATCAGGTGGACTAAACACGGCATCGTCGGGACAGGCGTCTTGCTCAGGCCGGTAAGAGTGGTAAGTGTCAGATGGACTACACACGCGACGCCATCAGCACCATCAGGCTGCCATCCGGGGAGCCCCTCTCATTGAAAAATGGGGTGGAGGCTCCCCGGAGGGCAGTCTGTGGACTGTTGATTCCTGGCCACTGGGAGGATGCACGCCGAATCGGCCGCAACCTCAAGTGGCAAAACCCATGGGCGGACGTTCACCGCTGGTTTGTCCACAAGCTGCAGCAGCAAAGTGGACACACCTTCGTGGTGGTGAGCCTCCCCGAAGTATTGGTCCCGGCTGTCCTGGGGCATGACTGGCACTTCACTTTCCAGTTAGGCACGGTCTACCTCAGGTTCAGATCCAAAAGGGGCCTGTACACGGATACGCCGCCTGAGAAGCATCAATAAAACACCGGTGGATGTCTCCCCGGAGCCCTCTACCTCCTCTGGCATCACCGGAGAAGGAAGGAGCCCTCCCTGACCCCCGTCTCTGCGGACGAGTGCGTGCTGGGGAGGGGAGACATCCGACTGAGCGAGGACGAAGACGAAGAGCTGCTGTCCACTGATGGCGGTTACCCCCTCGCTCAGTAAATCACAAATCGTTTAGTGCAACCTCCACCACAGCCAGGCCGCAACGGTTCAACTCCGGAAATGGTTAGAGGTAAACAACACAGCCGTGGCACTGATCCAGGTACCGTGGATCAGCGCCCGCGGTCAAATAAATGGACTCTCACAAATGAGAGGTAAGCTGATATCAACTACCATCTCAGAAAAACCACGAACTTGCATATATTACTCTAATAATTTACATGTACAACCACTAACAGAATTCTGTTCCACAGACCTGTGTGCCGTCAAGCTTTTAGCTGACACGGCCACGGGCTTGCCTGAAGTGGTGCTCGCCTTGCTAATGACAGAGGTAAGAACCTAACAGAATACTTATTCACAACAAACCTTCAAATCCTTAATAAAGGTACAGTACCAACCTTCGTAAATAAAAGATGCAGGACGATTAAAGACCTAACCCTAGCGTCCGAAGGAGCTGTAAATCTTGTCCAAGACTAGCACGTGTCCGAAGAAGCATCCTTCTCGGACCACAGATGGATAAGATTCAGCTTAGAAACAACCATCAAAGAACAACAACCGACACAAAGTCCCCGAAAAACCGATCGTATAATATACATTGACAAACTACACCAGGGCCTGGGGGAACCGGTAGCACCGGGAAGACTGATGGACACAGCACAGATAGAAACACAGGTTAAAGAACTGACATCAAACATTTTGAGCAGCTATAACCCCGTGGGCTAACTGAGTGAATCTGCTCCGCGGCAAGGCCAACACTGGTGGGGGCCTGAGCTTGAGAGGCTACGAAGAAGGGTAAAGAGACGCTTCAATAGAATAATGAACACATGCGCGGATGAGGACTGGGAAAACTACAGGACGGCCAAATCCAAGCTAAAAAAGCACATACGATTCAGGAGCACCGCGTCATGGCGAGGCTACTGCGGGAACATCACGTCTTATGCACAAGCGAACAGAATAAGGAAAATCCTAGGCAATTCAAATTCAACTGAGCTAGGTTCAACACGCAAAATAGACAACACATACACAACTTCCCCTGCGGACACGGAGAGAACCCTACTGGAAACACATTTCCCAGGATGTAGGTTCGTCCAAGATGAAAGGTGCGAAGAAATGAACTACAACACATCGATCCATAACTGGCGATACGCTGAACAAGTAGTAACATACGAAAAGACAAAATGGGCAGTAAACACCTTTGAACCGTACAAAGCTCCGGGCCAAGATGGAATATTCCCCGCACTCCTACAATGAGGCGGGGACACACTGGTCCTACACTTGATCAACATCATTCAGGCCTGTCTAGCATTCAGCTATGTGCCCTACAGCTGGCGAGAGGTAAAAGTCAAATTTATACCGAAACCAGGTAAAAACGACTACTCTGACGCAAAGTCCTTCAGACCAATCAGCCTCACATCGTTCTTCTTGAAAACATTAGAAAGGTTATGTGACAGAGAACTGAGGGATGAACCGCTTAAGAACATACCACTACACGGAAACCAACATGCATACAGTCAAGGCAAATCCACAGAATCGGCCCTACATGCCCTGTTAATAATGCCGTTGTGGGCAAGATAAAAGTGGCCCTCAAAGACAAAGCAATCTGCCTAGGCACCTTTATCGACATTGAAGGAGCCTTCGATAAAACCAACTTCTCCAGCATACAATCAGTACTGAGGAGGCACGAAGTGGATGAAGTGCTCATCAGCTGGATTAGCAACATGCTAAAATTAAAAACAATAAAAACAACAGCAAATAAGACCCCATGGGCCATAGTAGCGAAGGGATACCCTCAAGGAGGGGTACTGTCGCCTCTGCTGTGGATCATGATCGTAAATGACCTCATCATTAAACTGAACAAAGAACATTTCTATACAGTAGGATATGCTGATGACATAGCTATACTGGTAACAGGAAATTATACCAATGTACTCTGCGACATTACACAAGCTGCATTCCGAATTGTGGACAGATGGTGCAGGGCATATGAACTATCGGTAAACCCAATAAAGACGGAACTAGTAATGTTTACAAACAAAAGACTACTGGGTAAGTACCTACTACCCAAACTCTTCAGTACAGAACTAGAGATCTCAACCGAAGTCAAGTACTTGGGAGTAATACTGGACAACTAGTTGAATTGGAACAAGCATCTGAACAACAATAAAAAAAAGCCACTATCACCTTCTGGCAGTGCCATAGAATGGTAGGTAAACAATAGGGACTTTCACCCAAAATAACACTATGGCTCTACACAGCGGTGATAAGACCCATGATCAGTTACGGCGCGATAGTATGGTGGCCACGAACCAAACTGACGACCGCAACCGACAAGCTGGACAAATTCCAAAGAGTCGCTTGCATGGCAACGACCGGCTGCATGAGGACAACTCCTACTGCGGCCCTCGAAGCGATTCTGGACCTGCGACACCTCTCAATGTTCATCAGACAGGAAGCGGCGTCAACAGCAGTGCGTCTAAACAGAACCGGCCTTTGGAAGCACATGAGGACCCCACATACAGAAATCCTTTATAAAAAGTCAATGAGGAACCGCTACTGGAGGCGGCTGTGGATAGGATCCCAAAACAATACATCTTTGACAAAAAATACAAGATACAACTGTTTGAAGATCCAAATGAAGGACTGAACCCCAGAGAGGTCCGCGTCTTCACTGATGGATCTAAAACAAATTCAGGAACAGGTACTGGGGTATTCTCAGAAGACCAATAAAATAAAAATAAAATATCAGGATATCAACACCGCTTGGTGACCACAACACAGTATTCCAAGCTGAACGCATGGACATCAAGTTGGCGGCAGCAGCAATCAAAGAGTAAAGAACTACTCCATTCGAATACTCTCTGACAGTATGTTTGTACTTCAAGCGCTGAACAGCTATGACATAAACTCTCTCAAAGCACTCATGGAGGTATGTATACAAAACCACTTAACTCTACAGTGGATTTAAGGACACAGCGGCTCACGTGGCAATGACGCAGCAGATGTACTAGCCAGAAAAGGGTCGAAGACGGACGCTGTAGGACCAAAACCCATAGTGTCCCTCCCCTACCAATGGTCCAGAACAACTATACACAAAGGTACAAAAACTTCACATAATAATACATGGACCACCCTTACGGTTTGTAGATAGGCGAGGGAAGCACTCCCAACGCTCAATGCCAGTCTATCACGAATATTAATTAAACTCAACAGGCAAGAGCTTCGCGCACTCTAACTGCCGCCCTAACGGGTCATGGTCCATACAATAAACACCTTTTCAATTTAGGTATCACAGACAGCCCTCTATGCATGGAGGGGGAGGAAACGGCTGCGCACATCCTACTACAGTGCTCCGGCGTGGCCAACTACAGGGCAGAGTACCTTGGAGTGCCATGATCGCTCCCCGAAGTCTTCAGCAAACCGAGGAGGCTGCTGAGATTCCTGGAGGAGCTTGGGTGGCACGAGTAGGACCCTGCACCCACCACACGCAAAATAGGCGCCTTGACGTCGAGTTGTCGACCAGCCCGTTACACCAAGTACCAAGTACCATGTAAATTATACAGGCAAAAAGTTATGTATATAACTGTATATGTATATACTTTATTTATTATTTTACTTCGAATCGAACACTTTATCAATTTTAAAAAATTATTATACCTTAATTTGTTTTTGTCACCTCTCCAGTTATAAAAGAAAAAAACATTTTCACCATAGACTGTCAACATCAATACATCACTCACCACTGCTCACCACTTTGTTTTTTCCATCCACTAAGATTTGTGATTTTGTGGTCGGTAAAAATAAGTAAAGATAAGAAATATTTTCTTCTAAATTAATTTAACAGTCACGAAATGGACTTCCAAAACCGCCCCGGTGGTAAAACTGGAGGAGGAGGCGTTGCATCATGGTCCGAAACAAACAGAGACCGCCGCGAGAGGCTTCGCCAACTCGCCCTCGAGACCATCGACTTGAACAAGGATCCTTATTTTATGAAAAATCACTTAGGTTTGTACACTCTGTGCTTTTAAGTCTCATTGAATTCATTGTAATATATTTATTTTAGAATTTACTTATTTAAATTTACTTTAGGGTAAATAGATGTATTTGTTGTAAAGTTAGGTTATGTTGCAATGTTTATAATACGATTTCAGGTTCGTACGAGTGCAAATTATGTCTTACTCTACACAACAACGAAGGAAGTTACTTGGCTCATACTCAAGGCAAGAAACATCAGGCAAATTTAGCCAGGAGAGCTGCCAAAGAGGCAAAAGAGGCCCCTCAACAATTGGCTCCCGAGAAACCAAGAATAGAACCCAAGAAGTTTGTAAAAATTGGTCGCCCTGGTTACAGAGTTACCAAGCAAAAGGATCCTGAAAATGGGCAACAAAGCTTGCTTTTCCAAGTTGATTATCCTGGTAAATTTGCCAAGAAATTTTTTAAATTAACTCACCATTTCAATATTTATTGCAAATAGATATATTTGCAACAACTGTGTACAGGTTAATGCACAATGTACATCCTCTTAGATTTGTAACTGGTCCTCTGAAAGTAATTATAATTTTTTTTTACAGAAATTGCTGAAGGAGTAATTCCACGGCATCGCTTTATGTCCGCCTATGAACAAAAAATAGAGCCCCCAGATCGCAGATGGCAGTACCTTTTATTCGCTGCTGAACCTTACGAGACTATTGCCTTCAAGGTGCCAAGCAGAGAGGTTGAAAAACATGACTCAAAGTTTTGGACTCATTGGAATAAGGACACTAAACAGTTTTTCCTTCAGTTTGCATTTAAAATGGAGGCAATGCGTATGCCACCACCTCCTAAGATGTGGGATAATACTGGGATGCGCTTACCTCCACCGCCAGGAGCACCGATGATGGGGGTACCTCCTCCACCACCCCTTTTACCTGTGCCACCACCACCTCCTATGTAAATTAAAATAAATACTGTGATGCACATCTGCACTTCAGTGAAAATATATTGTATTAAGATGAAAATTACCTTGTTTATTTTTTTAAACCTAACTCATAAAAACGTGCAGATATACCTCCATGTTTTGGTGCTACACTCATAAACCATAACCACGAAGAGTAGTAGAAAAAATCGTTTTTTTATTTCTACAAGGTATTTAATAATTGTTCGCCGTGATGCTGTGATTATAAAACAGTATCCAGTATAAATAAGTAGTTATGCATATATAACTATTAAATAATCTGTGGTACAAGTGAGTAAATAAACAGATTGAGATTGGCTTGTTTGTGATATCAAGGAGGGATCACTGTTGTGATTTATGATACTTTTATATTAAAATAGTTGTCTAATTTATTTTTCTTTAATCAATAAAAGACTTATTAAATTTTTATTTAATTAGTTTCTCTCTAATTCCAATTTCTTTATAATGGCTCCATTGATTTTCACGATAATTCTGCCAATGTCAGGGTTCAAAAAGGCACTGCTTTCGTCACACTTTCTCGTAAGCAGTGTCATAACTAGAGATGGGTCATGGATAAATATCATTGGGATAAATACTCAGTAGAAAAATAAATATGGATAAATGTCCATATTTATCCAAAAACGTGGATAGATATTTTTATATTGGTTTATTATTTATATAGTGAAACAAAATACATTTTTAAGATTAATTGTAAACATTGATAGAATTTAGTAGCATGTACGTGTAGTATATTGCTTGTTATACCTTTTTTTTCTACACACAGTGATAAAAAGTGTACGATTAAGTACCGTAAATCCTTGTATTTTTGCGTGAATCTTATTATTTTTTAAACGCGTTGTTTGTTAAAAAAAATCTCTACACACAATATTAAACAGCTGTACAACATTTTACACTAAGATTTTACATCGATTTTTTTTTTTAAATTACTAAATTTGTCCGTTATTGTACAGTTGTTCAGCTTCGTACATAGAATACAAGGGTTTTTGATTGTTCAATATTTTATTTTAAAAAACTGTACAGACTTAATTGGAAATACTTAAACGATAATTAATTCTAACAAAAAGAAAATTCAATTCAAAATCACCTGGCCACTATTTTGCCAAAGCCTAAATTCGCTGCCGACCATTTACATGAGTGCGAAAGAAACGGAGAGAGCCGCTTAGTAGAATTGTGTCCGCGCACGTCGCATCAGTTCATAGATGACTGTAAGTACTAAAATATAGATAGCCATCTGGTGGTTTTCATTAAAATAGCGCTATCTAGTTCCCACGGGCGAAACTAACTCGTACTAAACCAATACGTAGGCTATAGGTAGACATATATATCTAGTGCGCGATTGTCTTTGAGTGCCATTGAATGCCAGCGAGTGTATTTGAGTGCCTTTGATGCGAGCGAGTGCCTTTGAGTGCCAGCCAGTGCCATCGAACGCCTATGTGTGCCTTTGAGTGCCCGCGAGTGCTTTTGAGTGCCATTGAATGCCAGCGAGTGTATTTGAGTGCCTTTGATGCCCGCGAGCGCTTTTGAATTTTAGAATGCCAGTGAGTGCATTTAAGTACCATCGTGTGCCTATGAGTGCCAGCGAGTGCTATTGAATGCCAGCGAGTGCATTTGCGTACCATCGAGTGCCTATGAGTGCCCGCGAATGCCTTTGAATGCTTTTGAGTGTCATTTAGTGCCAGCGAGTGCCTTTGGGTGCTTTTGAGTGCGTTTCAGTGCTTTTCAATACATTTGAGTGGCACTCGCGGGTTCTCAAAGGCACACGCTGGCACTCAAAGGCAGTCAAGGGAACTCGCGGGCACACAAAGACACTCAAAGGCACTCACTGGCATTCAAAGGCACTCAAACGCACCCAAAGGCACTCGCGGGTACTCAAAGGCACTCGCTGGCACTCAACAGGACTCAAAGGCTCTCGCAGGCACTGAAAGGCGGTCGCGGGCACTAGAAGGCAATCGCGGGCACCTAAAGACACTCGCAGGCACTCCCGAGCACTCAAAAGGATCCAAAAGCACTCACTGGCACTCAAAAGCACTCGCTAGCACTCAGAGGCACTCGCTGGCACTCAAAGGCACTCGCGGGCTTTCGCTAATAGCCAAAGGCACTCGCGGGCACTCAGAGGCACTTGTTGGCTCTCAATGGTACTCAAAAGCACTCGTAGGCATTCAAAAGCACTCGTAGGCATTCAAAAG